TAATTAAGGATTCTCTACAAACTAGAAATCATTTTAAGGGTTCCTCTGGGTTACAAAGGCTAAGAAAGGTTGCTTCAGACAGTTGTCACTGAGACAGATTCCCCATTTGACTATATTTGACAACTCTAAAATGTTTGATTCCCCATCACTTTCGGATTTGGTCACCAGGATGAATATAAAGGGTCAATCTACAGTTGTGCTCAAAAGTGACATGGTATGCCTAAAAAAAAAAAAAAAAAACAATGAAAGGTGTTCTAACCATTCTCTGTTCTACTCAAAACCTAAAGAAAAAAAATGGCTATATATACACTTTAATCAGCTCCCCGTACATTGTGATATGTGTTTTAGTATCCATTGAGCAGGAAGTCAACAATGAAATGAAAACTGTCCAGACTACAGTAATATATAGGGTAGAATTACTGTTACAGTAAGGCAGGGTTATACTAATTTCACATGCCAGTAGCTATATTTAATGAAAGGCCATTTCAATTTAGATTCTCATTTAGATTGCAGTTGTGTAAGAGGATTAATGTTATTTCCTTATGTGATCCCCAGAACACATACTATATTTCAGCCAAACGGGACAAGAAGTTATCGAGCACCGGACACCCTGCATCTGGGAGATTAACTCCATTAGGGCACAAAGTAGACTTGGATAGAGGGGCTTGTGAAAGGTCAATACAAACCCATCTAAGAGGAGTATGGCATCCCACAGACATGACAAGGGTAGAATATACGCCTTCCAACCTAACCAAGCCTGCTAGGCCAACCCTCCACCATCCCAGCTATACAAAATACACAAAGCAAGGTTTTGGAGTCAAAATGGCCATAGCAGACTTTTATTACCAATAAATTATTTCAACATAAATAACATAACATTCCAAATTATAAACAGAGGAAAACATGGTGGTCATTTGAGGGCCATAAACCCAACTTCACTTTTGCAGAAAGCATTCCTTCAACTTAGGCCCCCAGCCGCAACCCACCAGCTCGGGGACAATCCTACTTATCCCCAGCTGCAACACACCGGCTCAGGGACAACCCTTCTTATCCTCAGTGACCACCATTTTACCTATTCCGAGTTAACCCCTTGTTAACCTAAATGTACCGAGGTCCCCATACCACTGATGAGTCCTGAATCTGTCTTCATACAGAATTCTTTCCTCCTCCACAGACCAACCACCTCCAAGGCCGCCATGACAATCCAAACCAAAGCACGAAGGGGAGGGAGGGTGGGAAGCTTCTTCCTGAGGACAGACACTCCTTTTCCTCCCTGGGAGACCCTCCCCAACATCCCCCATCCAATAAGGTAAGCCTTAACCCCAAAACTTCCTACCCATAATTTAACTCTCTGTTGTCCCTCTATTCCCCCTAGTCATGTCGTCCCTGCGCTTATTTTTTTTTTGCTCCGGGCCTACCTTAAGACTTGTCAGACTTGTGGTCACTTCCTCAGTTGTACAGAACAGGATTTGTCCATAAATTCTATGCAATTTTGTTTTATGTAGACTCTCTTTGGCATGAACTTTATGGATGAATTGGATATTTCTTATTTATCTATTTTTGATCACTGATTAATTTTACAAACTAGTTATCATTTTTATTGGATTTAACTGATAACTAATTCTATTTATTATTTATGAATTTATTTTGAATTTCACAATATAAATTTGAATCATGCCTGGTTAGATCTGTTTATGTATGGTTAAATTTGGAGCATGGGAATATCTAATTTTATGAATAATATTTATAATATAATATTAAATATATTAGTAATTATCTTATTAATTGTATTTCACCAGCGCGGTCACAAGAAATGTTTTGTTTTATTTTTGCTACTTACTACTTTGATCTATTTACTTATTCTAAATTTTTATTTTTTACATTTCTTCAGTTACTTCCTGGTTTCCATGCCTAGGCAAATGATGTCATACATCCCAGGAGTCTTCAGGAGGGGAGGGAGGGTTCTTAGCTCAGCCACAGCCTGAGCTAAAGGCAGATGGATTCCAATATGTAAATGCTAAATGAATCGTCTGCCCTTACACAAGATGGCCACAGCCACAAATGCCATTTTATTTTCAAAATGATTTCTCAGCAAAATAAAGCATGGAGACATGGATGGATGGGGAAGTTTTATTTGAATATTAATCCCTTGATGCTGACGTCACACAAATATGCGGCTTCACAGAACTGGGCTTTTTTCTGTGGGGCCGCATATTTGTGTACCTGTCTTTGTGCTGGGAGCGCGCTGCTCGGCCCGCTCCCAGCACAGAGACCGTGGAGTCACTGAGAGCCCTGGGTCCCGATCATTAGAACTCCCGAGGGACTCCCGATTCCAGGTCACATGATCACTGTGATAGTCTCTGACTGGATATTACAGTGATCAGTCACTGTACAGCCCAGCCCCCTTGTTTTTTCTCTATGAATGGAGAAGAGAGATACATTGTATCTCTCTAACTCCTGGCATGGAGGGGAAAAAAATGTTTGTAAAAAAAAAAAAAAAAAAAGAAGATAAATAAATAATAAAAAAAAGAAAATACAAAATAAAGAAAAATACCTAGATCAAGGTTTGATCTAGTTCAGTGCCAGGGTTAGTGTTTGGGTCAAGGTCAGGGTCAAAGGTCAGGATTGTAAAAAAAATGGTATCAGTGTCAGTTAGTGTTAATGTCAGTGTCAGTGTGTTTTAGGTAAAAAAAAAAAAGACAAAAACAAAATGCGCACTATTGTTTCTGGGCTGTACTACGGGTACAAACAACAAATAACATACACATATATGATATTGCTGTGATCGTCAAGAGCTGGGGAATTTATTTTGGGTTGTTCTATGGAGGTAGGTTATGGTCGTAACAAGAAACACACAGCCAAATAAAAACAAAAATATTTTTTTTACTATTTTGGGCCAGTTTCCCTTTGATAATAAAAAAAAATCAGGAGCTATCCATTACTATTTACCACCAAATGGAAGCCCAATTTGTCCTGAAAAAATCAAGGTATAATCCACCTGGATGTACAAAGTAGTTGTGGTGATATGGACGGTTTTACTATCACATGTCAAAGTTGCAGAATTGTGCTTAGGCATTTAGATTTGTTTTACCCTTAGGCGTGAAGGGGTTAACAATGAATGAAAGAGCATTTTGGCTTTTGGTGCTCAGTTGCAGTGCAATTCCTCTTTAAGGAGCAGTGTGAAAAAAGAAAATGTAATAGCAAAATATATTAATTAGACAAATCAGTGGGAAAATAATAAGAGGGGGAGAAGGGGTTAAAGGCAATAGTTAAAGCTGTCAAGGGTTAACTAAGGGATAGTATGTGGTTATATAGGATAAAGTGTTACTAAACCCACAACAGTAAAAATCAGTCTGTATATGCATTAAGCATGCTTGTTAAACTCACTGTGGAACCTAAAGGGTTAATCCTCTGCATTGTGTAAAAATGCTGTTTGATCCTGACTTCTCTGATCCTCCCCTTCTTCCAGTATCCTCCTATTATCTTCTGATAAGACATATCGTGCGGAGACACTGCACATGGTCAATTTGGTGTGTATTGCTAGAGAGATTTTTTTCTGGGGAGAATGCATGTGATCAGCACAGGACCAATCAGCACTGTCCAGACAGAGGTCAGGGGTTCTGTATCCTCCTAGAGAAAACTCCTCCTACAGGCCTTAACCAGTGCTCTTCTGGACACTGATAGTAGTCACAAGACTGCTCTAACTGCTGATGAGAAAAAGAATTTAGCAGTTTATATTTACTAAAATAATTGCATTTCCATGTTGTGTATATTGTGGGAGACCAGATATAGTGAATGCAGGGTCCTGGATTTAGTAACACTTTACTTCTACTTTTTATTTGCAAGGTTGCGTTAAGAGCCAGTTCACACTGCATGCATTTCAGTTGCTTTTTTTCCTGCATTCAAAACGCACAGAAAGTAGGGTATATGGTTGTCAATGTCATAGTTCACATCAGCGCTTGCAGTTCCAGTGCATTCCGGTTGCAGAAAGAAAAGTAGAACAGGCTGCATTTTTTCTGCACAGAACTGTACTGGAACGCGGTAAAACGCACCGGAACGCACCAAAACGTATCAAAAACGCAAATGTCCCTATTTCTCCAGGGATTCCACCATCCTCTGGAACTCACTACCCCAATCCATAGACTGTCACCTACCCTCCTCACCTTTAGACGCACCCTGAAAACCCATTTCTTCAGGGAAGCCTACCCCGCCCTCACCTAATTGCCGACCTCCTCCACTCTTCTCACCACTCCATCCCCCACAGCTATTTCCTCCTGTACTACTCTCCCCTCCCTCCTAGATTGCAAGCTCCAAGGAGCAGGGCCCTCGAACTCCTCGTGTATTGTATTGTTACTGTATTGTCGCGTGTACTGTCCCCCACTATAATGTACAGCGCTGAGCAAACCTTTCTGGCGCTATATAAATACTGTATAATAATAATTTAATTTGAAGAAAAAGAGAGGGGGGGAAAATTAACTGGAATTCATAAAAAGAGCACTGGAACGCATCAAAAACGCATAAAAATGCACTGAAAAGCATAAAAAATGCAAACAAAACGCACTTGCAAAACCGCAACCTGAAAGTATCTGCACTGCGTTTTTATAGTGTGAACCGGCCCTAAAGCAGAATCTATATTTACCTGGGCTCCATTGAGGTGGTGTCTCTCTGCTCTCTGCCCAGCCGCTGACATCGTTGGGTGGCCGGCTTCCGTGTCTTGAACCCTGGCTGCTGTCACTGGCTAACCAGGGATAAAGTCAATACCACGCATGTGTGGGAGTTGAGTCGAATACGGCATGGCTGAATTTGTACAGTAAGCTGCTCATGCGCGGCTCACTGTACATCGGCAGACATGTAGGTACGTTTAATGCAGAAGAGGCAAAGCATGTCTCTTCTGCACTAAAAGTCCTGCCCAGGGGTGGACTGACCATTTGGAAACTCGGGCACTGCCCTAAGCCCGGAGTCAGTAGGGGGCCCCATGAGATGCCCCTGGTACCTTTTTCATAGGCTTTTTTGAGTTTGGGCAAGGACGCAGGGGCCCCATGATCCCCTATTGCCCGGGGGCCCCATGAGTTGTCAGTCCGCCCCTGGTCCTGCCTGTTCACCACTTTTTTTTTAACCTAAAGTTCCACTGAACTGACATGATATGCTGATCAATACTCACCCATTTTCTCTCCTATGAATGAACTGCAGTAATTACAATGTAGCAATAATAACTGCTACATTGCCATTCTTTTGACACTGCAGACACTGCTCTGCATATGTCAATTTAAATGGGAGCAGCAAGAGTTCTTCCTATGATATATGAGGCGGTATCAAAAAGTTTCGAGACTAGTTTTGTAACACGCTAACAGATGGCAGCACAGGGCTGCACGTAAAGTCACAGGGAGCACCGACCTTCATAAATCAGTGTGCCAAAAGACATCATCCTGTGTACATCAGGAGCTGTGCAACTGGTGCTATTCAGACCACATGCATTACCACATCTACTATTTCATCATGGACAGCAAGTTAGAACAAAGAGCAAACGTGAAATTCAGCGTGAAACTGGGCAAATCTTCTGCAGAGATGTTTGACATGATCGACAAGTTTACGGTGATGCTGCAAAAAAGTCATTTGAGGTGTTTTGAGAAGAGAGCACTTTCAAGAGCGGAAGAACATCACTGGAAGACGATGAGAGATTAGAAAGACCTTCATCAAGCTCAGCCTCTAAAAATTCTCTCTTCTCGAAGAAGAAGATGGAGCTCAAAGGTCACCGTTTTGACAATATTGCAGAGATTCAGCAATGCCTAGTTTCAAGCAGAATTTCACATTTTCTGTCCATGATGTAATAGCAGGCATGGTAACACACGTGGTCAGAATAGCACCAGTTGCACAGCTCCTGATGTACACAGAACGATGTCTTTTGGCACACTGACTTATTATTGTGCTCCCGGTGACTGTGCGTGCAGCCTTGTGCTGCCATCTGTTGGCGTGTTACAAAACTAGTCCCAAAACTTTTTGATACCACCTCGTAGAACAAATCCATGCGCTGTCACAGATGGGGATGATACTATTGCGGTTGGATATCATTTCCTACTGGGTGTCACCCAGGGCTGCTGTTAGGAGTCACAGTGCGCCGTACAGCCTACCTGACCGCCCCCTTTCCACCCAAATTACAAAAATTAAATTTTTAAAAATATATTTTTCTACTTAAAAAAAATGTTTTTACAATTTAAAAATTATTTTTCACAATGTACTTTTTACATTTTTTAAATACCCCCCTGCACATCAGTTCCCTACTGTACTCCCCTGCACACCAGTTCCCCACTCCCCCCCCCCCCCCCCCCGTCCTCTAAACCGTCCCTGCACACCAGTTCCCCACTGTGATCCCTCCCTCTGCTTGTCCTCCTACTACAGATCCTCAATGGCCTGGGAGGAGGTGGAGGGAGGTGATATTTCTGCAAGCCAGGACAACAAGGGCTTCTGTTGCCCCCACCCCGCGGTTCCCTCAGGGGGACAATTACAGAGCGATGCCCTTTTTCTATGCCTCTCCCTCCAGCAGCTGAAAGCTGGCAGAAGGGAGAGGGGCTGGGAACCGGCTATCACATGCTAGAAGGAGAGACAGAGACACAGGGCATCACTCTGTAATTGTCCTCCTGTCCCACCTCTTATCGGTAGCCTTGGTGTCACCCCTCTGGTGGGTTTCACCAGGTGCAGTGTGCGGGGTGCATAGCGACACCACTGCAGTGTTGAAATGTTATTTATAGGAGGAGAATGAGCAGAGAGATGACCTCCTAGGTGTGCTACTGTGTCTTTATTATTTAGTTAGGAGGCTGGGGGTATGTTCTTCTCCAAGCTGTACTGTAGAGGAGGTTGAGGATCTGGCTTTGCAATTTAGCACCTGGATCACAGGACTGGCTGAACAGAATTACAAATCCATTGGCAGGTAAAGCAATTTCAATATACTGTACTGTATGTATTTTATCTGTGTATTTAGCTTTTGGTCTGGATTTAGGCTTTACCACCTCAGTACATATATATAGAGGCTACAGCCATGATCCCAGTACAATTTTTGTCAGCAGCCTCTTTCATGTATAGTAAAAGTGATATGAGTAGAGTCCTTGAATCACCTTTACAGGCAATGGAAGGGAGTCCCCCTCACCACCACCTTTCTCAGGCTCTCCTGGTCCATCAGGAAGCCGAGGACTGATCTGACTGGTGGCATCCTCTGCAATGAACAGAGAGAGGAACTTCCGTTGTTCCTTCCTCTCTGTGAGATCAGAAACTGGACGCAACAAGGATTTTGCAACTTTCACTTTCAATTTGTTTGTTGACAAGCTGTTAACGGCTTGAAAAGAATCTGATGAAACCAATCTCATTTTGATCAGGTGTTTTGGAGGCCAGAGGAGAGATTTGGTGTCTAATCTCTCCATAAAGAGGACTTGTCATGACCCATGCTATCACAAGGCATGTTGTTCATCCCTTGTAATAGCAATGAAGTTGATCCAAAAATAAACAAATAAAGGGACTGTGTGAACAAAATTAAAATTAAATTAAATAATAACATTAAAAAATTTTTTTTAAAGTGCCCTCCCCCCAACTGTCCGTGTTCATACGCAAAGGCGAACACGCAGAGCCATCTGGACATGGTGTGCTGGTCATATCTTGCACTGAACATAGGCTTTGGCTCCACTATTTCACCACAGCGCCTTATATAACCGGGTCTCATTGCTGTATGGAGTGCGCTGGACTCTTCGTATTTATTGCCACGGACTCTTCGTATTTATTGCCACACGTTGACCTGCAGTGTAAAATGGGTCGTAAAGATGCTTTCCAGAAGGAGGTCCACAGTGATTACTCTACGGCTCCTTTTGCTTTGCCAATCCCCAACAGAACTCAGCTTTGGAAGGTCTCGAGAACAAAGGGAATTTCTGGCAGCTCAGAGCAGCTTATAAAAAATCTTTTCAGCCTGGAGAGGTGGTAATGAATAAAGAGAACTCCTACTTTATGAGTAGTCTCATAATGGAGCTGTACGGAGACAAATAAGAGCTTTGTTCAAATGACTGTAATTGTGAGGATTTGTGCCCTTTCTTCTGGTTCTGAAGCCATATTTTCACTGCCACATAACACACAATCGGAAGAACGAACCACAAAGGCTTTTCAAGGCAGTTGTATACACCAGTGCTGCTGCAATCTGGAACCGCTAATCAGAGTTGAACGTTTATTCTAAAAAAGAACGTAAGTGACATTTTCCCAGCTGGGCTATCCATATGTTATCTAGAAAGTTGGATACAGAGGCGGTATTCTCTTATTAAAACCATAAATGGCACTGCTCTGCAAGCTTCAATGTGCCAGAAATGATGCCACAAGCATTCAGAAAAAAACTCACTACGGAGAACTCCCTAACTCTCCAGGTTACTGCTACCAAGGGTGTTGGGTCTAATTGTAACAGACAACTTGTTACCAAAAGAACAAAATGAAACCAGCGCTCAAATCTTCATGCAGACTAAAGGAAATTCTGAATGCCAAATGTTGAGGTGCAGCCCTTCAGAGATCGGGAAATCTAGGTAATGGTGAACAAAAACAAACAAGGGCATACTCCCATCGTGCATTAACGTGGTACACCACGTATTTATTAAAAACTTGTAGATAAATACTCACAAACCAAAAAGGGATAAAAACAGAACAGGTGATCCGTAAGGACGGTCCAATGGATACAACACCTTGTAAGGTATAACTAACGCGTTTCGGAAGACGAACCCCCTTCATCAGAGCTGAAAATGTAGACCTTGTTTTTGTAGACAACTTGTTACTTACAGCTGAACTCTGGGCACAAAAAGCAAATAGTGAGACAATGCACAGCAAAACACAACCCAAGGTGTGGCTTCCTCCTGGCTCCTCCCAGGCAATACCCTCCTAACACCTCCCAGGCCATGCCCCCATCCACAGGGCTTAACCACAAATGGACCTCCTACTCTCTAGCTCCCTTGTCTCCTACTCCCATGCTCGTCTCCAGGACTTCTCCAGAGCCTCCCCCATCCTCTGGAACACTCTACCCCAATTTATCAGACTATCGCCTACTCTGCTCACTTTTAGGCGATCTCTGAAAACCTATCTCTTCAGGGAAGCCTATCCTGCCCTCAGCTAATACTGAAATCTTCTACTCTTCCAACCAGTCCATCCTCCATAGTTACTACCTTTTGTACCACCAGCCCCTCCCTCCTAGATTGTAAGCTCCAAGGAGCAGGGCCCTCAAATCCCTCTTGTATTGAACTGTATTGTTACTGTATTGTCTCCCGTTATAGTGTAAAGTGCTGAGCAAACTGTTGGCACTATATAAATCCTGTATAATAATAATAATAATAAAATGGACATATACATTTAATTGAAGTGGCTCATTTGTAAATTTAGTTAACTGAAGCTGCTCATGATGCATGTAGTCCAATGTCTGCGTTGCACTCCCTACCTCTATAACTAAACCCTGTTGGTGTGGCAAAACGCGCCAGAGTCGCCCGGGAAGACCCAAGTTGAAGCCGCATCTCACTCAGGCAGTGTTTCAGTGTGTGGCACCTTACCTGTTGTTGTTAGATTAGCTTCCTGGATGCTGGCACCCGCTAGCAGTGTGAGCAACTGGGTGGATTCTACACTGGCACTTGGAGTGGCGCTCTAGACAGATTAATACAGGATACATTTAAATATTCTTCAACAGACCCCGAGGGTATAAATCCAATTTCTGAGCTCCTAATGGCTTTGCGAACCCAGATATTACCTTGAAAAGTAGTGGTGATATCACCACTGTGCTGTTCATAGCCTATGCACAGGGAAGAGCAGTGGGAGGGGCCAGAAGGACCCACCCACTACAGGCTTCCTGCAGACAGCTACAGGAGGGGGCTGAGACAAGACCAGTCACCCTCCACAAGGAAAGAATTAATCAGTGACCAGTCTTTATTACAGGAAGTTCGTACACAGAGGTAAAATCTCACACTGGATTTCGGCACAGAACTGGAAAAAAATACACAAATCCCAGCAAGATCCTGTGATGGGCTATTCACTGAGTTGGTCCTCCACACTGTAATGTAAAGTGCACTGTGATACAAAAGAGGACTGCACTGTAGAGGAGCATTGTATTGATTATAGTGTCCCTTTATAGTGCAGCCCCTCTTACATTACAGTACCCATAGCAATCACAGCCACCTATCACAGTGCCCCTTGCAGTTTTGCCCCCCTTTTACTCTCTGCCATCCCTGCACAGCCCTACCTTCGTCAAAGAGACATCCCCATATATCCAGCAAAGAGACAGCCCAACCCAGCAAAGAGACAGCCCAATCCAGCAAAGAGACATCCCAATCAAGCAAAGAGACATCCCCACATAGCAAGGAGATAGCTACATCCAGCAAAGAGATAGCACAATCCAGCAAAGAGACATCCCCATACAGCAAAGAGACATCCCCCATATAGCAAGGTTACATCCCAGTCCAGCAAAGAGACATCCCCATCCACCAAAGAGAGAGCCCGATCCACCAAAGAGACAGTCCCATATAGCAAAGAAATGGCCCAATCCAGTAAAAAGACATCCCCATTCAGCTAAGAGGCATCCCAATCCAGCAAAGAGATATTCCAATTCAGCAAAGAGACACCCCAGTCCAGCAAAGATACAGCCCAGTCCAGCAAAGAGACAGCTCCATATAGCAGGGAGATGGCCCAATCCAGCAAAGAGACACACACTGGATCAGTGCAGCGTTCAATGCCCTCACCTTTCTCCCCTGTGCAGCTGTCATGGTGTGCCGGCTAGTGTTAGGAGAGAACCAGCTATTGTCCCTTCAGTGCAGTGTATTTCCAGTGGCTGGCCTGGGAGGTATGTGTCCTCTTCAGGTGCACCTTCTTCTGCACCTCCTAGTTTGCTAGTGCTGGCCCTGTTGTAGGCATTGCCACATAGTGGGGGATGAGCAGTTGCTGCGGTCTGTGTTAGTCCTGTCCAGACCATGGTCGCTGCTTACCTCCGCTCACCAGTCATCAACAGGCCGTTTTTCTTAGGACACATGGCCCCGGAGGCCTCGGCCCACTGGGCACATGCCCGGCGTGCCCTATGGCAAATCCGGGCCTGCTCCTTTGGATAAATTGTTTTTCCATCTGTGAATGGTGAGGAGTCAGATGAGTGACAAGATTCTTTCTCCCATTTACAGATTGTGCTATAGACAGTGTACACTATGGAACAATATGATTCTGATTGACAGTGAATTGATTTAGTCTATTCTGGAAGTGCTGCACAGAGAAGAGGGAAAAGAGCTGGCATTTGAAATCCCTGGAAAGCTGGACTGGCTGTGAGGGTGCTGACAGTTTGGCAACCCTGGAGGTAAGTACAGAAGAGAGCAGGGGGGTGGGGAGGTTATATAGTATTAAATCACATTTTTTCTGTAACGGTGAACTAACACTTCCAACATGGTTGGAATAAACACGAGTATAAACTCAGACAAAAATTAAAGAAAAATAATAAGGTAAGCTCAATTATTATTATTATTATTATACAGGATTTCTATAGCACCAACAGTTTGCTCAGCGCTTTACAATATAAATTGACCATTTCTTATTTATTTATTACAGGTACTTACAGTATATAGTGTCGTCAATTTACACAGCACTTTACATATATATTGTACATTTACATCAATCCCTAACCCTCAAGGGGGGTACAATCTAAGGTCCCTAACTCACATTCATACATACACATACTAGGGACAATTTAGGAAGGAGCCAATTAACCTACCAGCATGTCTTTGGAGTGTGGGAGGAAACTGGAGTACCTGGAAGAAACCCACACAGGCACAGGGAAAACATGCAAACTCCAGGCAGGTGATACCGTGGTTGGGATTTGAACCAGTGACCCTAGTGCTGATTTGCATAGGAATGCGGTGCGGTTTCTATGCAAATCACATGCGATATGTCCCACCGCACAAGTGTGAACCCAGGCTAAATGTGCTTGATATGCTGCACAGAAATGCAGTCAGGGAAGCCTACAATACAATGAAACGTTTTAGATTGATGTCTCAGCTATGTCACTGCTATCCAGAAGAGGAGGAAATTGTAGGTGACTGGCCAGCACAGGCAGCACAGTGTCGGAGCATCTGCTAGTTCCCTTGCAATTCCATGCACCCAGAAATGGTACTGGCAAGGGGCCAGGATGACAGATTTTGGTGAGTATATCTTGCCTCCCAAGGTACACCTGGCCATAGACGGAATGAAATTCATCTGGTTCAGCAGTGATTTAAAGGATAAGTTCGCAGTTTTAGGAAAAATTAAATGCACATTTTTTTTTCTTTTTTTTATCCGTCTTTTATGTTATTTAAAAGTTAATTGCAGCACAGCAACAGGTCGTGGCCAGGATTAGTGTAATCTCCGAATTGCCGGGTAGACAAATGGCACGGAGTGGGCACTGTCTACTCTTCTCACTCCGTCTGCAGTCTTAAACAGATTATCCATGCCAAGAGGTGCTAAATGCCACAATCAAACCTGTCCTTTGTCTGCGCAATTTTCAAGGTCATATTATTAATCTTAGCCTTTTAAAGATACACCCCATGCCTCCACACGTAAAGCACACACTTGTAGAATCCTGAACCATGTGTTTTAATTCTATGGATTTGATGGCATTGTGTTTCCTAATGCCCAGTTGAACTTTTCTACCTGTAAAGACTATGATTGATAACATGACCTTGCAGCTTCTCCTGCATAGATAATGTGCAGGTTTAATTTTGGTTGGTAAAGTGTCACTAAACCCACATCATAAAATACTATCAATAAATGCTGTATTACATGCTGTTCATACTCACTCATTCACGATGGGATTCATTTTCTGTATTCTGCAAAAAAAACTGGTTGATCCTGCTGTTCTCTATCTCCCCCTTCTGTCCATGTTCCCAATGCAGCTGGGGATTTTTCAGAGCAGTGTTGGCAGCTCCTGCACATGCTCAGTTTTCAGTAAGTTTCCATGATGAGCAATTCCTTAGTATCACATCTGAGCAGGGGCGTCCCTAGGGTTGGTGTCACCCGGTCCGGTAACACTTGGTGACACCCCCTCCGACTATCGCCGCAGAATGGATCAGATCTGCGAATTGAGCATAATGGGTTGGACTCCGATCCATTATGTTCAATCTGCAGATCCGAATAATTCTGCGGGAATCATCGGCTTTCTTTACAACTTACCTTTTCATGGAGCGGGTCTGGTGTCACCCCTTATAGGTTGCATGCCGACGATCCCCACAGGATGGTTCTGATCTGCGGATTGAGCATAATGGATCGGAATCTGATGCATTATGCTCCCCAATCCACAGATCCGATCCATCCTTCGGGGATCGTTGCTTTACAGCTTACCTTTTCGTGGAGCGGGTCCGGCGTCACCCCGTGCGGTCAGTGTCACCCGGTGCAGGCCGCACCTGCCTCGGGATGCCACTGCATCTGAGCAGCCCATGTGACTATAGAGTCACATATGCGGAAGTATTCACAGTGGTAAATGACAGCCCACTCCCTCCCTCCTCCCCCATGTCCACTAACCAGCTAAACACAATGGGGGGTGAGATATTACATCTAGATTGATGGAGGCTTTACCTGGCTCTGCTCTTGAATGAACTAAGACCACAATGAGTAGCACTGGAGATCCAGAAGCTATCTTCCTGGAGCACAATAATCCTGTCAGATGTGAATACTACAAGGCAACAGGCACCTCATTACACCTTACTCATGCTATGCCTGCAGTTTTTACAAAGTAGCTGAATCCCTGGAATTGGAATTTGATTTTAAAGTAAATAGGGTTGGGCTTCATGTGTGAGTTGAACATAAGTTCGACTCGAACATGGGCCGTTTGTATGTTCGGTGACACACGAAGAGTAACAACGTTCGGCGAGCTGTTCGCCCACCATGTCCCAAAATGCACTGTGCCCTGATACCACCCTAATACCGCTTAGTGAATTGTCCCTGTTTGAAGTAGGTTTGGATGTTCAACCATGAACCGAACAGGAGGGTGTTCATCACTAGTCGGTAAGTTCCTGTTTACAGAAAATCTGTGACCTTACACTGGCCCCCCTCCCCATCTCCCCTGGTCCAGCTGTACTGAAGTCGTGCGATCCTCCATTGTCAGACACCAGCATGCTGCTTCCCTGTTCCAGGGATTTGAGAATCCAAAGGCTTACTCTCCTCTCTGTACTGCTTAGACAGTATAGACCAATCAAAATCTGTCTAGCCCATCCTGTCAGCACTGCGAAGAGAGGATAGAATGCCGTGGAGCAGGGGCAGACTCACAACTCATGGGGCCCCTGGGCAATAGGAGATCATGGGGCCCCTATGTCCTTGCCCAAACTCAAAAAAGCCTATGAAAAAGGTACTAGGGGCATCTCATGGGGCCCCCTACTGACCCCGGGCCCTCGGGCAGTGCCCCAGTTTCCAAATGGTCAGTCCGCCCCTGCCGTGGAGATTTCAAATCCCCAGAATGGTAAAGCGGCATGCTGGTGTCTGACAGCAGAGGATTTCGGGACTCCAGTACAGTTGGTCCAGGGGCATGGGGAGGGGGTCCAGTGTAAAGTCACCTTACAGATTTCCAGATGAACGTACAGTACAGATGAACACAAAGCTGTGCCTTTTATATTTGCCTGGAGATCATCTTTAGGCTACATGTACAGGGACCTGTGTGCATCAAATCCTGGCATTTTCAGGTGTTTGGGAGGTGCAAGTGTAGTCCCTGAATGCACATGGCCCTAAATGCGAGTACCACTTGGTACAATGTCCAACCGCCTCATATCTCTGCATGTCATAGGTTTTGACAGGCTGTTGGCAATGGGGTTGGATGCTGCACATGAGTCTCCAGGGTGCCCAAAAACACTTGAATTTCACGCACATGGGCCAAATTTCCTATGTGAATAAGGCCTTTTTGTTTTTTAATAGAAACAGCAGTTGTTTCACTCAAATGGTTACGCTGTTATTCTCTCATTCTAAATACGAGTACTTAGTATGGTTCTTCTTTAAACATTGAACCGTGTAACTCTTTGAAAATGATTTTCTGCAGCCCAGAAACAATTGTATTCCTTGTAATTGTCTTGTTAAGTTATGGCTGTTATAAATGCAGTGGCACAAAACTGCAATAGAGTATAAATTGCACAATAGTCTAGAATAGGCTTCAAGATAAAAGATGGCAACACGGTGTACTCTATCATGGCCTGGCGGCTCGATTCCCAGGATTACAGTAAACATTGGCGCTGTTTAAATCCATTACCAGTAGATTTGTTTTATACACGAGTGAGCCAACTACCTTCTGATGGGTACAATGTGCACCAATATCTTTTGGGATCTCAGGGGTTTAAACAATTTGTCTGTCTGTCCTAGCTGCTTAAAGTGTATTTAAACACAAGAAAAAATCTAAAACAGTTTACTGGACCTTAGGAATGGTGGCTGCATTCGTTTTCCCAATTCATGTTTTATTTGGTGATCATGTCAGTAATACACCAGCCAGCCCTAGGATACCAATACCAAGCAGAGGCGTCCCAAGGGTTGGTGTCACTCGGTGCGATAACACTTGGTGACACCCCCTCTGACGATCCCTGCAGAATGGATCGGATCTGCGGATTGAGCATAATGGATCAGACTCCGATCCATTATACTCAATCCGCAGATCGGATCCATCCTGCGGGGATCGTCGGCTTTCTTTACAATTTACCTTTTTGTGGAGCGGATCCAGTGCCCCCCCCCGTATAGGTTGCATGTCGACGATCCCTGCAGGATGGTTCAGTAGTGAAAGTAGCTTACAGTGGTTCTAAAGACTCAAGGTTTTTTACCTTAATGCATTCTAATGCTATTGGGGGGCACTCAGCATGGGGGAGGAGCCAGGACCACCAGCAGGGGGGACCCAAAAAGAAGAAGATTGGAGCTGCTCTGAGCAAAACCATTGCACAGAGCAAGTAGTATAAAAAAATTTTAATCTTTCCTTTAGAATCACTTTAAAAAGGCTCTCTTGAAAGATCAACCCCCCATATATTAATACTCAACTAGCCCACTCTCCACCACCACTTTGCTCCTTGCTCGTGAGAGATTTACCCTCATTATTGGTCCTGGTGACCATTGCGTCTTGTATAGAAACTGATGGGGAATCCAAGATTTTCGAGTTGTTGGAGGAGGTGAGGATTAATATTCAAATTGATAGAAGTGTCAAGAGGGGAAATCCCCTTGGCTTTGGAAAGAAGTTCTCTTACTGCCTCCTGTGCCTCCAGCAAAGGATGTGAAGGGTAATTCCTCCTCCAGAAGCAGAATAAATCCCGAACTAATAGGAGTGTTTAGCCTTCCCTACACTATCCAAAAGAAAAAAAAGTACAGGTATTGGCTTTGCATACACTTTAAAACAATGGATTTAGGCCAGCAGTCGTTGAGTAAGAAAACTGGAGGTAACCATATTCCAGATATTCACCAGAGGAAGAACCTACAAATTAGTATATATAATACAGTAGTGTAGACAAGCAGGTACAAATTGTACATCCAGGCACTGGCTGAACAGCAAAATGGATTATTTATCATCTTGAAAACCTTTTTTCTTTTGACTGGAGAGTCTCTTTAAGTGCTTTGCATTTCCCAAGAAATGAACAGCTGTATAAGAATCTAAGTTGGTACGTTGCTGACTGACATAATTAGTGTAATGGGCGAAGGATTCACTTCATGTGCTGAAAGGCAATTTAACTTCTTTCAGGCTAATCTAATTTTCTCTAATTAAATCGAGCATCAGTGCAATTCTGGTTGTTGATTCGTTTAGGGAGGATGGAAGTTCATTTTTAGTATCACCTGTGGGGGTCTTCTTTTGAGAAAGAAAAGGAATCTGAGGTACAGTATAGATGTTCTGATCAGTAATGTGTGATTGATCCCCCCTTCATCCATTTCAGGGGATTTCTTTTTGAGGTTTTCCCTTAAACTCTGGAATGTTCTGGTGATTTTCCACTGTAAAATGATGTGCAATGGGGAATATTACAGCCAGCAATCTCTCTATATAGTCTCTGCATTAAATGCTGCCGTTATAGAAATGGAAAGGAAACTATAAGGGTGCATGCTCGTGGAATTTACACAGGTATGTTAGATGCCGGCATAATTTTATAGACTAATGAGGTCTAGCTATCAAGATGTGGACCTAGCAATGAAGGCATTATGCACCCAATGCTCTACAAAGCATCTGGTCTCCAGGACCCAAAACAGAACTTTTTAAGATTCTGAGAATACAAAAATGTGCCATACAAGTGATTGGTTGTAGATGTCCATGTTCTAGTAAACACTGATGCTTCTTCGCATCAGCATTTACCCATGAATGTGTGTCCAACCTATTTTCTGAATGCAAATCAAAAAAATGACTAACGTTTACAAGAGCATGGCTGTGTACAGCCATTCACTTGTAAGGCAAGCTTTTTGTTTTCTCAAAATCTTAAAAAGATCTGTTCTGGGTCTTGGAGGCTTTGTAGAGCTTTTGGTAGGATAAAGCCTCCATTGATAAGTCTTCATCTTACCTGGTGATAGGTGGACCAATTTATTAGTCTCTGGTGTGGTTGGATCTTTATATATGTGAGCCGATTGACACTCTCTTTCCTTGCTATAAGAAACTTCTGCTTGCTGAAAATGCTGACTTCTGATAAAACACCAAGAGGGTACCAAAGCTACCTGCTTGTTTTGGGGAACCCATTAGGGGGCACCCTGTTAGTCAGGAACTGACCTGAGTTTGAACGAGTAGATTTTTTTTGCTGTGGACTTGCTTCGTTACCAAAATGAAAAAGGGAAGAAAGGGAATGTACAGGGCAGAATCCATGCTGGGACTAAATTTTTTTCTAGCATGACATGTACAGCTGTTAAGCCCAATTTATATAGAGAAAGTAAAAATTAGCAAAAAGAGTATTTCTGCATCCTCTGTAATATCTTCTTGACAGAAAAATAGAATATTGATTCTGTGCAATAGATCAAAA